TTTTTTTTTTTTTTTTTTTAACTCAAGTCATCAAGTTATTGAATGTCATTTTATTGTAGCTCTCAAGTAAAGTTGGTGAAAGGATCAACTTTAAGTGTCATATCTGATTTTAACATGACTTCAGAATCCCTAAGTTTTTAAATACTATGAAAATGGAAATCAGATTACTCTGTAAAACTAGAATATATGAATGATTTGTGACCCTTACTGTAGAAAAGAAAGGGTAGGTTGAGAATGAGGAAAAGGAAGAACTTAAATTCTAGGAATTAATTTACTAAGAGGTTTTTGTTTTTTTTGAGACAGTCTTATTTTGTTGCCCTGGATAGAGTGCTGTTGTGTCACAGCTCACAGTAACCTCCAACTCTTGGGCTTAAGCGATGGTCTTGCCTCAGCCTCCCAAGTAGCTGGGACTATCCGTGCCCTCCACAATGCCTGGCTGTTTTTTTGTTGTAGTTGTCATTGTTTTGGCAGGCCTGGGCTGGGTTTGAACCCACCAGTTCTGGTGTATGTGGCTGGTGCCCTAGCTGCTCAGCCATAGGCGCTGAGCCTACTGAGAAGTTTTTAATCTGTGTTATAGTTACTTCAGAATCTTAACCATTTTAAAAAATTAAATTTTTTAATTTAAAATTAAAATTAAAATTAAATTAATTAAAAAATTAATTAAATTAATTTTTAAAAATTAAACCATTTTAATTTGTTTTAGGAACTTTTGGTTGACAAACTTCGTGACCCAGGAATGTGCTTTGACATTTGCAGTTGTCAGTTTGTCTGTCATTACTCATTTGAGTCCTATGAGCAGGCTGACATGATGCTCAAAAATGCCTGTGAGAGGCTTAACCCTGGGGGCTATTTTATTGGTACCACTCCCAATAGCTTCGAACTGATGTAAGTACTTATAAATATATTGTGTGGTTTACTAAATATTCAATATTAAGTATACATTAAGTAGCAATTGTTTATCAGAAATAGATTTTATAAAACATGCCATGTTAATCTTATAGTAGCTGAACACTTTGATAATGTATTTGAGTACATACTCAAAATTTAAGTTCAAAAGAGAAATTTACAGATGAACTTTTAAAACCTCTTTATGTGTGAGTTTGGAGACTAATGTCGTAGTGGTAGGCAAACTGCAGGTACATAGAAGCTTAACCAGCTGTGGTGAGAGTGATACCTGGCTTCTAGCCTAATTTTTTTGGTAAGCCTTATAGTGATCTCTTAGTATATTCCTTCTTAAAAGTAGCTCACTTTCAATTAAAAACCTAATCGAAATCATATCATATAATTTTTCACATGCATGATCTTATCAAAATAAGTCTATCCTAATTATAATTTTAATCTTTTTATTTTGGTTGGGGGGTAACCCTGATAGAAGACGCCTTGAAGCCTCAGAAACGGAATCATTTGGAAATGAAATATATACTGTGAAATTTCAGAAGAAAGGAGATTATCCTTTATTTGGCTGCAAATATGACTTCAACTTGGAAGGTGTTGTGGATGTCCCTGAATTCTTGGTCTATTTTCCATTGCTAATTGAGTAAGAATGCCATTAATCAGTTACTCTTATCTTAAGAGAGAAAGGGCAAGGAGGAATCAGTCATTTCTTTTCATTCTATATTTTAAATGTGGCCCAAAGAAAAGGTATAACCTGGGAAAAAAGACTATAGCCTCAGATCCAGGATAGGTGCTATAGATCTCTCACAGTCTAACGTACTTACTTTTCTTTCATTCCTGGAATTGTTTTATCCTATGGGTAAGAAAGGGAGCCACGTTGCTTTTAACTTATAGCACTTATAGCACAAAGTGCATTGCAGATAGCAAAAGTTTTGGTTTCTTTTTAAAGTGACTGCTAGTTTGGTAATACACAATGAGTCTTCATCAATCACAGACCCTCCTTTTTTGACAGATAGGTATTAAAAGTTGCTTACATTTCACTATAGCTTTAAAATTGCCTATGTGTCACAGGCAATGTTGGTAATAAAATCCTGATTCAGGAATGTAGTCCCCCATGCGCCTGAGTTCCTAGGAGTCCTGGCAAACTGTAGACACAGGAAAAGCTGGGGTACCGGGCTTTCTCAGGTAAGGCTTCAAGGCCTTGTGATTCACCTTGTTCACCAGAGTTTCCCTGACGGGGAGTCAGCTTAAATGTAAGCCATGTCATAATAGACCAGATCCAGTTTTCTAATTTTTAAAAAAACAAAAATTTTTATTTTGAATATTTACTGAGAAAAAGGAGCTATATTTGCTTATTTATGATTGATGATTATTTGAATTATGACTCAGTATGTAAAATTACAGGTGTAGGATTTTCAGGAGTTCTATGATATATAAAAATTGTGTACAATAATATGAGAAAGTCAGATAGCACTGTGACTAAACATGAGAAAAATACCATGTACAGTTTTATAAATATAAGCAATTTATAAAATTTAAAAACTTAAATCACATTCTGTTTTTTAACTTTTAAAATTAGTAGAATTTGGAGGAGATATTACTACTGGTCTTCAACTTTATGGAAGAAGAAATTAAACAATTGTTTTTGGTGTATTTTGTATGTTTAGTATGTTACCTTGATGCTTTTAGTTAACAAAGTTGGTGATTTTTACTATACATTATATCTTAAAAGATAAAGAACAAAAGTTTTTTTAATGCTAAGCAAACAACTAGCAATCTTTTTTACTTAAATTGCCTAATGATAATAAACCTATGAAGTCCTACGTCATTAATTAAATTTCTAACTTCTAAAAAATTATTCATTGAAACAAGTTTTGGATGAGAGAATCTAAAAATATATAGGGGTTTTGAGATCCCGTTTTGCCATTTCATTAAGAAACTGAACAAAAACATAGTTAGCTTTTATATGGTAAAACCTATTCATAATTGTCAAATTGGGTCTCAGTTCTTTGTGATTATATTTTTTAAGTATAAAACTTCGTTTCATTTCTGAAGGCTTATTTTGGAGATGTATGAAAGAAAGTTAACTGCCTGGAACAAAAGAGACTTAACTGTGTTCATGTTGTTTTTCTAGGAAAGGCTAATTTAAATAATAGAGTCCTGTCTTATAATGCCTCTTTGCTATAAATCCCTGTAGCCCTCCTGTGTTCCCCCATAGACTGTCCCCTCAGCTGTTACCCTACACATGAGCCTTCCGACCTGCCTTTTCAGGACTTTTTCTTCTTTCTTCCTCTCTTCCTTTACTGCCTGAAATCATCTCCAGGCTCCCTTGTGTTGTCTACAGAAATATAATCATAAACTTGGCAAATGCAGGGAAGGAAAAAAAGAACACAACATGAGAGTCTTAATGGGGAGACCTAATGCAGTTAAAGATTTAAGGAAAACATTTTTAAAGAAATGATGTTTAAGGCAGTATCTAAAGGATGAATAGAGGTGGCCAGGTGAAGACTGGAAGGAGTATTCCGACGTGGGGACAGTGTGTGTGAAGGTCCTTGTGGGAAAGCTGGCCATTCAGGGAGTTGCGAGAAAGCCATCCTGATAGGATCTGAGGGAAGTGGAGCCTGAGAGGCTCACGATTAGGCAGCATCCCTTTACAAATGAGTGCCTCATTAGAGGCCGCGCTCAAGGCTGTGACTTGTGTCATAAGTGTGCTGCAGCCCAGTGAAGTATGTTAAGGAGGGCAGTGACATGACAAGGTACTTATATTGCTGAAGACTTAGTCCAACTGTACTTGGAAAATTATGAAGGAGAGTCAGAATGGAATGGGAGGCAGTGATCACTGGGCTACTGCTGCTAGATGGTGATGGAAGATGATAGCAAATGTGGACATGTTTGAAGTAGACGTTTTCTAAGTAAGGTAGAGAGGAATTAGTGGGCATAGGAAAAGAAGATGGCATGAGTCATTAAATGGATATACTGAAATAGGTTCAGCCCTACGGAATGCCAGTGACAAATCCAGGTGATTTCTATTAAGCAATGGGATCTGTGAGTGTGACAAAAAAAAAAAAAGCTGCAAGTAACTTTAGCTCTCTTCAGGAGGGGTAGTGAGTAGGGCTCTGGGCCTAACTCAGGAACTTAAAAGTTTAGAAGCTGAGAACGAAATAGAAAACTGCCGAGATGCAACCTGAGATGGAGGGTAAAAATTAATAGTGTGTCTTGCCAAGGAAGCCAAGAGATGGGAATGAATCTTTCAAGAAGGAAGTGGCAGCTGTTTTCATTTTCAGTGCTGCTGTGAGGGATCAGCTAAAATAAAATAGAACTGGCAGGAAAGCAGGTCCTGTTGCCTTCCTTCCCTTTTACCACTCCTGAGGCTTCTCTCATTTTGCTTGCTGACCCATTCGTTACAGTCACTAACAGACAGCTACTACAGACCCCCTAAAGTTTAGAATGCATCTTTCTTTCTGGCATGGTGGTTCTTTCTGGTGCGATTGTTAATAAGCTACTCTAAATTCATTTTGCATTGCTCTGTTGTGAACATATGAAGGCAGAAGTAACTTTAAGTTAAATCCAGAAGATGTCACTGTTGTGCAGAAAGTAAACTGTTGAGGAATTACAAACATTTTGAAAGCCTTTTCATTAAGTAATCTATTTTGGACAGAATGGCAAAGAAGTACAATATGACACTAATCTACAAAAAAACTTTTCTGGAATTCTATGAAGAAAAGATTAAGAACAATGAAAATAAAATCCTGTTAAAACGAATGCAGGCTCTGGAGGTGAGTATTTAGAAAAGTTGTAAAAATTTTAGGTCATTGTGAACTTCTTTGGCCATTCTTGAGATCCTTTTGAGGCCATTTAGACACTGAATAATTATGTATGTTATGCTAATTATAACTGGTCTAGAATCTTCAGTATCTGGGACAGAGCTTGATACAGAAACTTGCATGTGGGTCATCAGTAAATACTTAATGAAAGAATGAATACTACAGTTATCAAATGCTATTTTCTAGATAGTACTACTTTAAAATAGGATTTCTCTACCTCAGGACTGTTGATATTTTAGACTGGATAATTCTTTGTTGTGAGATGCTATTCTGTGCATTATAGGATATTCGTTAGCAATCGTAGCTTCTACCCACTGGATACCTGTTGATAGCTCTTCTGTGCCCTGATTACAATAGCCCAAAAATGTCTCTGCCATTGTCAGATGTCTCCTGTTGGGCAGAATTTAGTTGAAAAACCACTTCTTTCCAATAGCGCCCTTTGCTTACAACAGTAATTATAACGTTCCTGGCCAGGGTCCAGGACAAGCTCATACCAAGTGTAATTTTGTCCTATGGTGACTCTTTAGTGCAGTGCCAGTCTTTTAGACTGTAACTGAGACTTGCTTCACCTCCTGGACTCCTGGACTTCTTTTTTTTTTTTGAGACGGAGCCTCAAGCTATCCCCCTGGGTAGAGTGCCATGGCATGACGCTCACAGCAACCTCCAACTCCTGGGCTCAAGCGAGTGTCCTGCCTCAGCCTCCCAAGTAGTTGGGACTATAG